GTGCTCATATGACCATTGATGTTGTGTCTCTCTAGGCACCTGTGCTCATATGACCATTGATGTTGTGTCTCCATGGGCACCTGTGCTCATATGACCATTGATGTTGTGTCTCCCTAGGCACCTGTGCTCATATGACCATTGATGTTGTCTCCCTAGGCACCCGTGGTCATATGGCCATTGATGTTGTGTCTCTGTGGGCACCTGTGCTCATATGACCATTGATGTTGTGTCTCCCTAGGCACCTGTGCTCATATGACCATTGATGTTGCAACGACATTAAACCCCAAATAAACAAACCAGGTATCCCATATATCCAATTTAAGCAGTTTAAGCAATTTTTAAGTAGTTTTAAATGTATATATTTTTGGGGGTGGGGTCAACAAACTATAGATATTTGCCTGGCTTCATTTATTTATTTTTAAGACATCTGACCCCAGTGACCTTGAGAGAGTGTTTTAAGTTCAGTCATTTCACAAATAAATTCTGATGGCCTACCACCCTATTAACATCATCTTAGTTCTGTAGAAGTGATTTGAAGTTTGAAGCACATTTGACCAAGTGACTCTAGGCCTTATTGTTGTGTAAAATAAGTTTTAAGATTTAAAGGAAAAGACATGGAACCCTGTTTTAAGAATTAGTTGGTGAAACATTTTTCTCGTGAGGACCAATCCCAAGGATCATCCTTAAACTGGTGTCTAGTCTATGAAACCTGTTTCATAGATACAAAGACATGTACCTATTACAATACATTATGACTATGACAAACAAATCTTCAGAAACAAGTAGGAAACTATTGCACTTTTATTATTTTCTCGCTTCTTTTACCATTAACCAAAGCAAGAGCATACATAAGAAATGTATTATAACATACAACCCAACTACTGGTCTACATGGTTCTGAGGAATCAATCCTTTTGCTGCAAAAGTCAGTGAAGAAAAACTAAGAGGCCAAAGGTAATAGTACTGTTCACCTGATCATACCAAAAGGTAATAGTACTGTTCACCTGATCATACCAAAAGGTAATAGTACTGCTCACCTGATCATACCAAAAGGTAATAATACTGCTCACCTGATCATACCAAAAGGTAATAGTCCTGCTCACCTGATCATACCAAAAGGTAATAGAACGGATCATACCAAAAGGTAATAGTATGGCTCACCTGATCATACCAAAAGGTAATAGTACTGATCATACCAAAAGGTAATAGTACTGCTCACCTGATCATACCAGAAGGTAATAGTAATGCTCACCTGATCATACAAAAAATGTAATAGTACAGCTCACCTGATCATACCAAAAGGTAATAATACTGCTCACCTGATCATACCAAAAGGTAAAGGTACTGCTCACCTTATCATACCAAAAGGTAATAGTCCTGCTCATCTGATCATACCAAAAGGTAATAGTACAGCTCACCTGATCATACCAAAAGGTAATAATACTGCTCCCCTGATCATACCAAAAGGTAATAGTCCTGCTCCCCTGATCATACCAGAAGGTAATAGTATTGTTCACCTGATCATACCAGAAGGTAATAGTATTGTTCACCTGATCATACCAAAAGGAAATAGTACTGCTCACCTGATCATACCAAAAGGTAATAATACTTCTCACCTGATCATACCAAAAGGTAAAGGTACTGCTCACCTTATCATACCAGAAGGTAATAGTCCTGCTCATCTGATCATACCAGAAGGTAATAGTATTGTTCACCTGATCATACCAAAAGGTAATAGTCCTGCTCACCTGATCATACCAGAAGGTAATAGTATTGTTCACCTGATCATACCAAAAGGTAATAGTCCTGCTCACCTGATCATACCAAAAGGTAATAGAATGGATCATACCAAAAGGTAATAGTACTGCTCACCTGATCATACCAGAAGGTAATAGTACTACTGCTCGCCTGATCATACCAAAAGATAATAGTACAGCTCACCTGATCATACCAAAAGGTAATAATACTGCTCACCTGATCATACCAAAAGGTAATAGTACAGCTCACCTGATCATACCAAAAGGTAATAACACTGCTCACCTGATCATACCAAAAGGTAATAGTCCTGCTCACCTGATCATACCAAAAGGTAATAGTACTGCTCACCTGATCATACCAAAAGGTAATAGTACTAGTACTGCTTACCTGATCATTTAAACAATGCTACAAAAATTGCTCTTTATAATAACAATATGGATATTGGACCATAATCACTAATTTGGTTAAAAATTCATTGATTTAAACACATGACAGCCTTCATCTCATCAAGCCTCCGGCCATATATCACTTAACTAGGCATCACAGTTTTAAGTGTTCACACATTTGAACCTTGTCACATTGGAGTAGGACAAGGTCATTTATCTAAATGATCCTGATAGCTCGTCAAAGTTTGACAATGACTCTGGGCTCTGTGTTTCTAAAGATGATATTAGTTGAATGTAGACAAATGACTGAGGATGTCCAATCACACAAGATCACCATACCATTTGGCCAAGGTGAGCTAAAAGTAGCAGGTTTTCTGCTCAGAATGAAAAAAAAATTAATGGTACCTGTGTTTATGCAAATATCACTTTTTCCTGTTTCTTTTCCAAACTATAAATATGGCATTACTATGCCAAAAGTATCCTTTCATAATGGCAGCATAGTAACATTCTCAAACCTGGAAGTGGCATATATGACCTTGGCCTTGTTTAATAATATCAATTTTACTAATCATGTGACCTAATTTGTCATATTGTAATAGAATTAAAACATGATGGAGTGAAAAGGCTAGGAGTTCAAACAAATGTTAAAAAAATATATGATTATTTCAGAGTTTATTTTTTTCACATGCTTAAAGTTATACTGTTGGCAGTTCTTTTGGTACAACAGGAAAAAAAGAATGCTTATATTCTTGAATGAGGATAACAGTTTATAGCAAGGACCGTTGGCTTATATCTGGAGAAAACAGGACAATGGATGGAGGCCAAATCCTGATGATTCACGGGTGTAATTGATGGGGCGGTGAGGGAGTGCTCACTGCTGAAGGAAATAGTTGTTCTGTTTAATATCATATTTGGAAGAATATTTACAGCCAAAAGTAGTGACACATATTCCTGCAGGAGATTATGTTTTAAGGACGGTAATGCACCTTCCCATCATGCAAAGCCAATATATCTTGCCCAGATTAGAACAAACTGCGTGAAATTCGCAAACAGTCACTTGTTGTTAACATTATAGAAACCCATTGCTGGTACTCCTCACATGTGTCACATTAATACAATGAACAGATGATTTCTTCTGAGAAAATAAAAGGATTCTGACTGAAAATATGCCTGTATACCTAGAATCATAGTTAATACAACTCCATCCCCGAACCAATTTTAGATGTAATCTGGTTTAAAGTACACCTTACAAAAGACTAAAGATAAGTAGGTTTATTATTGGTTAAGCTGTAAGAGCTTTTTTAAACCCAATATATTTTCTTCAAATACAGTTACTGTAGTAATCACAACACCATTATTACTGGATACGTTTGGCATGTTTTAATGACTTATAGCAGTAATTGTGGATTATTTATTCAAATGTGATTATTTTCAAAATAACTTCCTGTTTATAAGCATAGTTGCACATCAAGGACATGACATCAGAACAAGAGTTAAAAATAAAGTTTTTTTATGGTAGGGTTAAACAACTTCTCTGTTTTAGGGTAGGGTAACAACTTCTCTGTTTTAGGGTAGGGTAACAACTTCTCTGTTTTAGGGTAGGGTAACAACTTCTCTGTTTTAGGGTAGGGTAACAACTTCTCTGTTTTAGGGTAGGGTAACAACTTCTCTGTTTTAGGGTAGGGTAACAACTTCTCTGTTTTAGGGTAGGGTAACAACTTCTCTGTTTTAGGGTAGGGTAACAACTTCTCTGTTTTAGGGTAGGGTAACAACTTCTCTGTTTTAGGGTAGGGTAACAACTTCTCTGTTAAACAGCTTTTACTGCATCATTATACAGTTAAGAACAAAATATGAAAAAGAAAAGCATGTTTTCTGAGGAAAAGATATTCTTGACTAAAGCATTCAGATTATGTTTTTCGCTTACATAAAGAAAAGATTTCTTTATATAAGATAAATTAACATAGAGATAGCGAATAAAATGAGAACAGATGTCAGAACATAGTGGCATCAACAGAAGTTGGACATGTGTACATATCTACTCCTTTGTATCAGTGATAAAATAGCATTGCAAATACATTACACATGTTTCCAGCTATTATCATTTCTAATGTGATCGAAAAAATAGGTCACATTTTTTTCCCATGCTAATATAAAAATATCAAAATTGCACATAAATATTTAAATACAGACACGTAATCCACACAAGTTGTATGATGTAGGACTGGTACAGGACACTTATATGACATAAATATACATGTATATGGCAAACAATGGATAATCAGTCATTGGATTTCTTACTATTCAAAACAACTGTAAATCTGAAAACTGTTTTCAGGTTCTGATGTATGAACCATATATTTGTCATTAAAACTGTAAAATAAAAATCACTCGGAGCTAGATATACTTAAAACTTTTGGGGTTACAAGTATTAAATTTGTGAAGTTTGATATCATCCATTATTTGATAGCTTTTACAATTAAGGCAAATTTGATAAAAACTTATTGAAGTTTTAGTCATAATTCAGTAATTAATCACAGTATGCATAATATTTATGTATAATTTAAAACAAAATATTTTCAGATTGACAGTTATTCCATAGCACTTTCCTCTTAAAATAAATATTGTGTGTCTTCTATTCAATAATACTTTGTATAATATGACTAATTTTAATTATACATTATTTAAATAAGAGGCCCAGACGGCCTGTATCGCTCACCTGGAAAGTTAAGTTGAAATAGCCAGATGTTGCAGGTAGTGTACACATATTACATGGTTAGTCAGGGGTTATATTTATATGCAATTGGACAAAATCCTGTCATTCCTACAGGAACAGGAGAATTTTGAAGAATTTGCTATGTTTTCCCTATTGGGCTCCACCAATCTGCCCCCAGGGGAGGTGAGACCCACCATTTATACAAAATTGGTTCCCCATCACCTGAGGGTGCTTCATACCAAATTTTGACGAAATCCTGTCATTCCTACAGAAAAAGAAGGATTTTGAAGAATTTGCTATGTTTCCCTTATTCGGCCCCGCCCCTCTGCATCCAGGGACCACACCCACTGTTTATATTAACTGAGTCCCCTTGGCCCAAGGATGCTCCAGACCAAATTCAGTCAAAATCTCCTAGGCCGTTCAGGACAAGTAGCATTTTAAAGGAAAAGTTGACAGACGGACAACGGACGACAGACGCTGCGGTCGGACCAGGTGAGCTAAAAATAACCGGCAATACATATTATATTAAACACTCAATAAATGCCATTGAAATCAGAGCTACAATTTACATTCAGGACAGGTAATATTTTCAAGGGACATTTTTTCCTGGAATTATGAAAATGGAAAGGATACCAAGATAGCATTTCATATGAAAGATAAAATATTATGCACATAAAGGTATACAACAAATCTGCCAAAAATAAACTGCTAGGCTTATATTTTGTGATATTAATTTTCCTTTTTAATGAAATTAAAAGGTCTAGTATCCACTTGCTTCCTCTTTTCGTAATTCGGAGAGAGAAAAAATCCATGAATTATTAATATAATTACAAGTATTTGCAAGAATTGAAGGCATGCGAAAAAATGTATTGAGCAATATATCACAGACTGAAAATATCTCTAGCAAGGCAGCTTGCATATATTCTAATATACTGAAAACACAAACATGTAAATCTATCATATTGATGACATTATAATCTCTGTAAATGTTCCAGGATCATTTCCGACAATATCATAACCACAAATAAATCAGAATGGCTGCATTATTCAACGTTGTGTTGACACCTCCCTATCTGACCAACCTGTTTTTTTTCTGTAAGAATGCCATTGTTTTTTCCACTATAAAGCTGATGAACAGGTCACTACCGAGATTAAACCAGTTGACCAGATGACAACGTGGATGTGACTGAATGAGGCAGTGCTGTGTCCGCTAGGGCAGTACATGTAGTTTGACCGTCACTAAGTCACCACTGCTACAAGATCAAAAGCTGAGCTGGGTCTACGTTGGTGTGATAAAGAAGTTGAGTGGTCACTACCTTTATATCTGTGCTCAATCGTTGTTTGACCGTTTGTAACTGATGCGCTCAAGTAACTGAATTGGTCAGTATTGTGTTTACTACAACATTTGACCATCTCATACCGATGTTATCAACATCTGACCAGCCAGTTAAGTGATCACACTAGTGTTCTGTACAACATCTGACCAGCCTCCGAACGTCTCGGTTGAGTGGTCACACTAGTATTATGTACAACATCTGACCAGTCCCCTAACATGTCGGTTGCGCTGTCGCTCCAGTGTTCTGTACAACCTTGATAGCACCAGAGAAGTCCGCTGTGACGAGCACCTGGTCAGTGCGTTCCTCCTCCTTGGCGGGAGATTCAGACTGTGCCATCAGGAGGGAAGGATTCGGGGCAAACACTGCTGCTGTTACTACTGCATTGTGTACTGAAACATAGCAAAATATTTTATAGGGTAAAACGAATTTGAAAAACATTCAACTTCTAATAACTTTACAGTTCCTGATATCACCAATAATGAAGTTTGATCAATCTTTAAATCTAGTGTTAAGATCAAAAACAAACAAAAATCAAAGCTAAGTTTTCTTCAGAAAATCAGTTTTTAACATTTTGCATTTTAGGTAATTTGCCTTTTTTTTAATACATTGTGTTTACAGAAAATCTTTTCACATTTATTTAAAATAACTTTAACAATCAAGAACCCCCCCACCTTTAAATACCGAAGTCTATACTATGACTATTTAAAAACATTCTAAGAAAGTTAATGACCATCACCTGAAAAGGATATAAAATTTCTTAACTTCATTATGAAATGGCAGAAAATTATCTTTTAGAAACAGGAGTGTCTCAATTTCTCTATCATTATTGATACAATGCCATTGTCAAAAAAAATTCAAGATATGTAAATTATTTAATAAATTTTATGTACAATGTACAAGGATTCACCTTTAAGAGCTTCCCAGTAATCATTACGATCTCGCCGAGCTGACGAGAACTTGTAGTATTCATGCTGGGTCTTCCATATGTACACAAAGTGGTCCTCCGACCCACAAACAATGTAACGGCACTTGGGACTGAAAAACAACCAATGTTTGAGAATATGGTCAAGGTTATTCCAATCTTATTGCACTTTCTCAGACATCACATTCCCTATCAATGTTAAGTGATAAAAGTGACCAGTTGTAAGAATCTCAAACACCAGAACACCATTTATTTTCGGTAACCTGAATTAAATATATGGTCAAGTTATTAGAAATGGACCGGACAACATTTACAAAACAAATTTTAAAAGTGACTCCACGCTCTCACGCATTGTTTTTCTACTGTCCTAGGTTCCCCAAAAATGGGACACCAATGGAGGTCTTACCTGAAACTGGCTTTGATCGGTCTTACCTGAAACTGGCTTTGATCTGTCTTACCTGAAACTGGCTTTGATCTGTCTTACCTGAAACTGGCTTTGATCTGGCTACTGTTGTTGGCTCCTCCTTTGTATTTACAGGTCAAGGTCAAATCACGAAGGTCATACATTCTAATCCTGGAGTCGTTAGAGGTCACCAGTACCTACAGACACAGTTACATTACTATGTACATGTACTATTTACTTCTGTGCTGCATACAAATGATTAATTAAGGCTATAAAATAGGGAGATTTCTCTCCCACTGGTAAGAAGATTGAGATTCAGGAAGGGAGAATTTCCTCGCGAGAATAATTGTATTTTCCTAAAAATAAGAGAACTCATTTATGACACATTTTTAACAGGTTCGGAATTTACACATCGCAACAAATTGTAGGGAGATTCTGATTCTTGAGAGGGAGTTTCAGATCTCAGGGAGGTATCACAGATATGTTGCAGTCAGAGGTAAATACATGCAAATTCCGTTTACAATTTATGCAGGTAATGTACCAAAATTTCGAAGTAGATGGTGGGGAATCCTCTACGTGCCCTAGGCTGAGCAGGGAAGTAAATGTGATTCGGCACTTTTGTCAGACAAATAATGATTTGTACATTTCAAAATTAGAAATGTATGTTTAATATCTGAGGTATGACTGCTGTATGGAATTTCAGAATATTACATTAAGAATTTTCTTAGACTTGAGAAATTTTGTGAGACAGAAGACAGCAAATACAGACCTATTATCATTCATTAAGTTTACTCCAACCCATGATACTCAATAATATAGGGGGCAAGTTTACCTGTGTGTTATCACTTACCTTATCTTCACCAGGTAGAGGTTCAATTCCTGTGATTTTACGTCCTCTGGCATTCTTACCCCGTGTAGACCGTACATGGATCTGGGTGTAATACTTCAGTTGCTACAAAGAAATAGTACAAATAATATAATGTTCTCAGACAGTTCAAATTGTGACAGCATCTAACTGATTAATAAAATCTTTTACCTGTAACTGAGCGAGATCGGGTTATCTCAGTCGAGGGTTAAGATTCTGTAACAAAATCCCAACCGAGGCGTAAGCCGAGGTTGGGATGTTACAGAATCTAAGCCTGAGACTGAGATAACCCGATCTCGCTCAGTTACAGTTAAAAAAAAAAATCTCTCGCACCTTTTAGTTCGAAAAGAACTATTTAATTTTGCTAAAAACTACAAGTATCCCACCTTGGGCCTCAAATGATAATGACCTCTTCACTACTAACGCTACATTTGAATGCTACCGCGTAAAAATGTAGTTCCTCCTTACATAGATTACAACCTATTTCACAGTGTAGATTTTTTTTCTTCTACAAAATCAAATATCTAACAGCATCAAAACTATACATATAATGACAAAACAGGACATTTATAATGCAAATTGTCAATTTCAAGCAGTTAACGCATGGATGAATACATTGCAGTGTAAAAATTCAGCGAAATGTCACGTAAAGGTACAAGACAGATCGGACGAGATATAAAAATCTAGCATGGGGTATGACGTAGGATATCTCTGTCTGAGGTGCGAGAAAAGTTTGAGTGTCAAGATATTTTTGGTAAAAGTTTTGATTATGTTACACATCATTATGTCAACAAGAAATCTATATTGTCTATACCTTCACTGAAAAGGCGACCCACAGTGTACGTCAACTCTGACAGGCCCAACTCATAAATTGAAAACAAGGTAAATTTGACAAAACAGAAAAATATTTTCAAAAGCTATCATCCCACCAACAACTTGCTTCACGTGACCTTTCTAGTGATATCTACGAACATTTTACTTACCTCTGTAGTGTAGAAGATACATTTCCCATCGTAAGTGCCGGCTACGGCAAATTTGCCATTGTGGCAGAAGTTTGCGGTTGTGATGAGACAGTTCTGGGCCTCATTCCACATTGTCACTTTCTTCTCCGGAATATTCCACAGGCGAAGCTTTCCATCCAGTGACCCACTCAGGAAGTACCGGTCATCCTGATAACACAGACGTACTGGAATGACCTTAGCTGTTGATAGGACCTTGGTGTTTAACTTTAAATGGTCCATTACAATACCACAGAAGCAATATTCATTCCATTTAAAATGTCCGAATTTGTGAAGAAAATGAGGAGCGATTCCTCTACTCTGGTCCTTTTATAACCAGCACAACATTTAGGAAAGGTCTCTTTAAGTTAAATATTAGCTACGGTGTTACATGTTTTTATATCAAAATTCTACTTTTTTGTCATATGACGACTGATAACACACAATATGACAGATAACACACTCCTGACTAGCTGAAAAAGTGCATTATCCATGTCACACCACTGACGTTAAATTCTTAATTGGTAATATTTGTAATATAAACATAATTTTACAAATGAAACATATTTATGTGTTAATTTGACATTAATACGTTCATGCACACATATTTCAAACTGAATCAGTAATTGTATTTTTTACAGTTACTGTAATATCTTTTATTAAACAGCTGGTACTGATAAATACGCCAGAGATTTTAGCTGTATTACCCTGGGGTGGAAGACAATGGCAGTTACAAAGTCAATGTGCTGGAATGTACAAAGACACTCGCGCCGAGATATGTGCCACAGGCGGACAGTCTTGTCCATGGAAGATGACAAAATAAAGTAATTCTGTAAAAATAAATAGATTTATGGTATTCATTATCCAAGTGTATTGAAGTCTGCAAAAGGAACACAAGTGGTGGAAATGATTTCTTCTCAAAGAACATTAATGAAATAGATGTATTCTGTTAACAGACGGCATCTTAAGCTGACCATTTCTCTATTGATCATGACAAATTAATATTAACAGAATAAAACATGTATTTCTGTATTCACATCTTAACCATGTTGTTAGAAATGTAACAAATTAATTATGTATTTGTGTTGTTAACAAAATGTTCAATGCACTGACCTTAGACCAGGAAACGTCTAGAAGGTCGGCCGAGTGGCCCCGGTACGTACAGAACGGCTTTGGCATAAATGGAGCTAACTCCTCCTCGGTACTGCCCGAGGCCTACAAACAGACAAGGATAGGTGTATGAGCCATATTGTTAAGTCACTGCTAAAACTGAACTTACATGTGGAAAACAAATAATTACTGATATTGCTTTTGAAGCAATTAGAATTGTACTATAGGCAAGGCCTGAATTGTTAAATGTAAAAATGTTATAAATGACTGTACACACACTTTTGATCGAACCAGAACTTCTGTGACAAAAAAGCAGTCAAAAATAGAATTGGTACCATACTATTTGATACATACCTTCAATTTTTACATATTTGCCTTTAGACATTTCATTGTAAATTCTATCAGATCGACCGTAATTTCAAAATTTACAGGTAAATTTCATTTTAATGCAATCATGAAAACCATCACAAGCATCGAGAAAGAAAATCAACAGCAAAGTTTCACATTAAAGTAAAATAAGCTGACACCACAGATGACATTTTCTTGACTGATGAAGTTTTACCGTCTTAGTTCTACTATATAGCTGCTTAACCACTGTCTTAAACAAAAGGTTTCTCAAAATGAATCTTAAATGACCTTAGCTGTTAATAGGATCTTAAACAAAATTAAACCAACCTCAAAATGAAAGAAAAAGAATCTAGCTTACCAGTAAATCTGAGGCTGAGCTTTCAGATGTGGCCGAGTTGAGACTTTCCTGAGATGCTGCTGGTGAAACACGAACTAAAAGACAAAGAATCAAAATTAACTAGAACTGTCCTAACCAAGTCCCTCTGTGTAGTCTGCTCTGGGATACACGAACTAAAGGACAAAGAATCAAACTTAACTAGAACTGTCCTAACTTAAAAGTCCCTCTGTGTAGTCTGCTCGCTGATACACAAACTAAAGGACAAAGAATCAAACTTAACTAGAACTGTCCTAACTTAAAAGTCCCTCTGTGTAGTCTGCTCNGGTAGGACAAATAACAAGTGATAGTTAATTATCATATCTGTCAGGGTAGGACAAATAACAAGTGATAGTTAATTATCATATCTGTCAGGGTAGGACAAATAACAAGTGATAGTTAATTATCATATCTGTCAGGGTAGGACAAATAACAAGTGATAGTTAATTATCATATCTGTCAGGGTAGGACAAATAACAAGTGATAGTTAATTATCATATCTGTCAGGGTAGGACAAATAACAAGTGATAGTTAATTATCATATCTGTCAGGGTAGGACAAATAACAAGTGATAGTTAATTATCATATCTGTCAGGGTAGGACAAATAACAAGTGATAGTTAATTATCATATCTGTCAGGGTAGGACAAATAACAAGTGATAGTTAATTATCATATCTGTCAGGGTAGGACAAATAACAAGTGATAGTTAATTATCATATCTGTCAGGGTAGGACAAATAACAAGTGATAGTTAATTATCATATCTGTCAGGGTAGGACAAATAACAAGTGATAGTTAATTATCATATCTGTCAGGGTAGGACAAATAACAAGTGATAGTTAATTATCATATCTGTCAGGGTAGGACAAATAACAAGTGATAGTTAATTATCATATCTGTCAGGGTAGGACAAATAACAAGTGATAGTTAATTATCATATCTGTCAGGGTAGGACAAATAACAAGTGATAGTTAATTATCATATCTGTCAGGGTAGGACAAATAACAAGTGATAGTTAATTATCATATCTGTCAGGGTAGGACAAATAACAAGTGATAGTTAATTATCATATCTGTCAGGGTAGGACAAATAACAAGTGATAGTTAATTATCATATCTGTCAGGGTAGGACAAATAACAAGTGATAGTTAATTATCATATCTGTCAGGGTAGGACAAATAACAAGTGATAGTTAATTATCATATCTGTCAGGGTAGGACAAATAACAAGTGATAGTTAATTATCATATCTGTCAGGGTAGGACAAATAACAAGTGATAGTTAATTATCATATCTGTCAGGGTAGGACAAATAACAAGTGATAGTTAATTATCATATCTGTCAGGGTAGGACAAATAACAAGTGATAGTTAATTATCATATCTGTCAGGGTAGGACAAATAACAAGTGATAGTTAATTATCATATCTGTCAGGGTAGGACAAATAACAAGTGATAGTTAATTATCATATCTGTCAGGGTAGGACAAATAACAAGTGATAGTTAATTATCATATCTGTCAGGGTAGGACAAATAACAAGTGATAGTTAATTATCATATCTGTCAGGGTAGGACAAATAACAAGTGATAGTTAATTATCATATCTGTCAGGGTAGGACAAATAACAAGTGATAGTTAATTATCATATCTGTCAGGGTAGGACAAATAACAAGTGATAGTTAATTATCATATCTGTCAGGGTAGGACAAATAACAAGTGATAGTTAATTATCATATCTGTCAGGGTAGGACAAATAACAAGTGATAGTTAATTATCATATCTGTCAGGGTAGGACAAATAACAAGTGATAGTTAATTATCATATCTGTCAGGGTAGGACAAATAACAAGTGATAGTTAATTATCATATCTGTCAGGGTAGGACAAATAACAAGTGATAGTTAATTATCATATCTGTCAGGGTAGGACAAATAACAAGTGATAGTTAATTATCATATCTGTCAGGGTAGGACAAATAACAAGTGATAGTTAATTATCATATCTGTCAGGGTAGGACAAATAACAAGTGATAGTTAATTATCATATCTGTCAGGGTAGGACAAATAACAAGTGATAGTTAATTATCATATCTGTCAGGGTAGGACAAATAACAAGTGATAGTTAATTATCATATCTGTCAGGGTAGGACAAATAACAAGTGATAGTTAATTATCATATCTGTCAGGGTAGGACAAATAACAAGTGATAGTTAATTATCATATCTGTCAGGGTAGGACAAATAACAAGTGATAGTTAATTATCATATCTGTCAGGGTAGGACAAATAACAAGTGATAGTTAATTATCATATCTGTCAGGGTAGGACAAATAACAAGTGATAGTTAATTATCATATCTGTCAGGGTAGGACAAATAACAAGTGATAGTTAATTATCATATCTGTCAGGGTAGGACAAATAACAAGTGATAGTTAATTATCATATCTGTCAGGGTAGGACAAATAACAAGTGATAGTTAATTATCATATCTGTCAGGGTAGGACAAATAACAAGTGATAGTTAATTATCATATCTGTCAGGGTAGGACAAATAACAAGTGATAGTTAATTATCATATCTGTCAGGGTAGGACAAATAACAAGTGATAGTTAATTATCATATCTGTCAGGGTAGGACAAATAACAAGTGATAGTTAATTATCATATCTGTCAGGGTAGGACAAATAACAAGTGATAGTTAATTATCATATCTGTCAGGGTAGGACAAATAACAAGTGATAGTTAATTATCATATCTGTCAGGGTAGGACAAATAACAAGTGATAGTTAATTATCATATCTGTCAGGGTAGGACAAATAACAAGTGATAGTTAATTATCATATCTGTCAGGGTAGGACAAATAACAAGTGATAGTTAATTATCATATCTGTCAGGGTAGGACAAATAACAAGTGATAGTTAATTATCATATCTGTCAGGGTAGGACAAATAACAAGTGATAGTTAATTATCATATCTGTCAGGGTAGGACAAATAACAAGTGATAGTTAATTATCATATCTGTCAGGGTAGGACAAATAACAAGTGATAGTTAATTATCATATCTGTCAGGGTAGGACAAATAACAAGTGATAGTTAATTATCATATCTGTCAGGGTAGGACAAATAACAAGTGATAGTTAATTATCATATCTGTCAGGGTAGGACAAATAACAAGTGATAGTTAATTATCATATCTGTCAGGGTAGGACAAATAACAAGTGATAGTTAATTATCATATCTGTCAGGGTAGGAAAAATAACAAGTGATAGTTAATTATCATATCTGTCAGTGAAGGAAAAATAACAAGTGATAGTTATTTATCATATTGGTATTGGAGAAATCGTTTTTCCTTCACACACATTTATACCGAGAATCTCCTGTTATTACCTGCCGCTGTCATCGGTGGTTAACGTACCTTAAAGATTTTACCATCAACAGAGACCTCCTCTTCTACGGCTACATCGTCATTGTGTAAGACTGCAGACAGATCAAATGGAATGGACGGATTACTTTAAATCAGATTACACAGAAATGTGTAATACATGTAGTTCATGCAGACAGATCAAATGCAATGGACGGATTACTTTAAATCAGATTACACAGAAACGTGTAATACATGTAGTTCATGCAGACAGATCAAATGGAATGGACGGATTACTTTAAATCAGATTATTTTGAAACGTGTAATACATGTAGTTCATGCAGACAGATCAAATGCAATGGACAGATTACTTTAAATCAGATTATTTTGAAACGTGTAATACATGTAGTTCATGCAGACAGATCAAATGGAATGGACAGATTACTTTCAATCAGATTATTTTTAAATGTGTTATGCATGTAGTTCAGATTTTCTTTTATCATTAAATATTTTTCTTGTATCAATTGATATTGTGCTCAGAATTGATTGTAAAAAGTTTTATGACATGCTGTAACCTATGAGATAAGTTTAAGTAAGATTATCCTCTACAAGGAATACTTGTCCAATACTCCAGGACATCAGAATGATGAACTGTCATGTGATAAATCTCACCTGTATCCGCCATTGTTTTGACTTTACTCAATGTTTTTCCAACTCTTCGCCGAATTATTTTCCTCAGTCGGGATCTAAATACAACGAAACTGCATCAGTACATCTATTAGCAAGAATTGGAGAAAGTATTTCTATTTCATGTGGAGCTTTATTCTCTGAATACAATAATCTGTAGCAGAGGCATGTAAATGGAATCTTATCAAAATACATATTTTTTTAGTCTTTTTATGAGTAAACTTTATTTTTAGCTCATCTTTGACTTTATTGTGGCCCTAGCATTATATTTTCATTATACAGGAGTCACATACCCTTTTTTCTTCACACCAGACTGCTCAGACAAGGATTGTGTGTCCTCATTGTCGAGCTCGTCATGGTGGTGATCATCCTTCAGACTGCCATCGCTGTAACAAAATCAAGATAATGCCATCAATTCAGACATCAGCTAGATAACTAAGCTTCTGGTTTACATACCTGCAAGCTGCTTGGTAATGCATACCTAAAACTACTACAGTTAAATCTGCTCAGGCAATCATCTGTATAAGGAGAGAACTTGTTTTATATGACCATGTTTAATCTCTCCCAAATATTTTACTATGCAATTTAAATGTATTAAGCCACCATCTGTCTAATGCAACCAGCAACTACCTAATTCTAACCCCAAAATTATGTTGAACAACCACATTTGACTAAATCTAGCAACCATCACCATGTTAGACATTAGACAAGCGGCTTTCTAGGGATTGTTTGACCAAATTTTGTTAACACAGTAATAATTTATTGCAGTGCCTACATTAAAATATTGATATATATATAACTGCTGATATCGATAACTTAGTAGTAATTACAGACTGTTCCTCATATCATAGTAGAATACATCCATTTTAATTGAACTGTAACCCAGTGATTGATTGGATAAAGTACATCGGCAGGTTTTCATTCATAAACCGCGATGGTTTTAAGATGTTTATGACAACACACCCTTGTATTAGTAATATAGGATGAACTGGACCTATCTGTTTAAGGCCTTGATAATTAATCAAAGCAGAAAAATATGTTACAAACAGTGAGAGGTGGCTGGCAAGGGATATATTTAACTGACCAGTTATGTAAGTGACTGATGTGAGTGTACATAATACCAGAAGGCCTCTATCTTTTATTATCTATTCCAAGGAATGGAAGACTTCTTCAACATAATATTTCTCATGACTGAAGACATTCTTTATATGGTTGTGTGATAATAGCAAGCTAAAAAGGTAAACATACAATATGCAAGTTGTATATCAATTGTAGTCCATATCTAGAAGTCTGCATTTTCTATTAACTGGAGCATTTACCAATGAAAACAGCTAGACTAACTTATGTTGCCCCCTAGCATGACAAACGATACCAGGGAATCTCAGAACCATCTACAATGCTCTGTCAAAAAGTAAGAGCAATATAATGTATGTTTCTGGGTCCCTTCTGGAGAAAGTGTCTGTGTTTACCTGTGGTATTCCTTAGTCCTCTTAATGAGATGAAGGTCGAGTGGGTTAAGTCCCTTAGGTATCTTCTCCTCGGCGACGCTCAGTGGAACACTCTCCCCCGTGTCAAGGTTCAGCACACGGATTGACTGCAGGATCTCCTGTTATTGGTCAAACACAAGTTGGATACAGGAGATGTACTGGATTCCATATTTTGTTAAACATTGCTTCATTGTAGAATCCATTTCACATTTAGCAATTGTTTATAAACCTTGTTTATCACATCATTCTTTGAAATAAGTCCAAATTTGTGATTCTCTTATTAAACCATCTTTTATCATTTTTTTTAATATTAAGAAATTATTTTAAAAAGTTGAAAGAATTAATTCATATAAAAATAAGCTGACCACCACTGTTACACGTCCTTAGAGGAATTTAAGTATTTTCTAACTGACCTTGACCATACAAAGTTTTCATGAAGTTAATACATGTTATTTTTCTGAATAGATAATTAAACAAATTGAAATACTAATGATATCAATAAGTATTTAGGTAACTTTGAAAATTAATAAAAAAAAAAAAAATATTATAGTATTCATATTCAAGACACATTCAGGTAAAGTTCATATTTTTTCCCTACATTAGCAATAAGTTTTTGAAAATAATTAATGTAATACTCACACTTAAGATAAATTAACATTAATATTGTACAGTAAGTATCTGTTTACCTTGTCAGAGAGTAGTCTACCCGAGTTAGATCGAGGCCGTTGGCTTTCCTCTGGGACAGAGCTGTGCCCCTGGGAGCGAAGATGTGCCCCATCAACACTGTCTAATCCTGAGGGACCTCCATCAACAGAGGACGGCAGACTGTCGCTTTTCTGACGCGGGGAATCATGATCAGAGTTTACAGCATCACGCTCCGCTTCCTGTTTTAAATAAAGTATTTCAATGATGTACAGTATACTGTCTATACCAAATGTACACACTATGATATTTTTTCCCCAACATTTCCTCTATTAAAAAAATACTAGTTTATCAACCCTACCTAATCCAGATTCTGTCTACTCTGACTTGTAACAAGTGTGTTTTTTCCTGATCTACACTATATTAATTTTGACCTTTCCATTTTCCTCAGTCTTTTTTTCTCTGCAAACATTTTATCCAGATTTGATATACATAATCTTTCAACCTTGCTTTTAATTAGATTTGAATAATTAAACATTATAATTGAACAATTTCTTTCTTTTCTGTTTATACATCCATGTTACATTTCAAAGTCTATTGACGTATGACCCCGCACATATATACACATCCATATTCAAATATTTGATATCCAACTTCACTTTATACTCCATGTAAACAAAACTGGATAAACCAGACAATTATTTCACTTCTAGTCATAACAATACTAGGCAAACACTAAACGCCCATTCCACTATATGACAGGGGCTTAAATACAATTTCCTCACATTAGGCTAAACAGAAATCTGCAAATAAACGACAAAATTGGTGTATATTAACATATACAGTCATGCAAAACACAATGAATCCAGTGTGACAATTTAACATTTATGTAATTAGATGTTACATCTCGGATGTATGAGTAATAGAAATGTGAAATACATGTTTTTACTTTAGGGAAAACTTCCATCATAAGTCCTAAAGAAAAAATATTATAGATAAGACATTATAAGAATCTGGGACAAACTAAAGACTACGGTAGATGACAACAAAAGATTCTGGTTTCTGTAGGCAGCAATAATACCCACCTCTGCATTGATATGTCGAGCCCCTTCCAGGGCACTGTGGAGGTCGAGGGCATACTCTAGTTCCTTAGTCAGGTTGTCCACAGTAGATGTTGGGGTGGGTAGTGTCAGCCCGTTTGGACCAGAGCTCCAGTCTGAGGCACCAGCCTGACCTAACTAAAACAGCAACCATTAATTTTCTTAAACCAATCACATAAATCCATTTACAGCAATATTTACACATAAGAAAAATGTTAAAATTCTATTTAAGTATTCTTTATGCATGAATTATATCATACAATTCTCCAGGAGGTATTTAAGTGTCAACTTCTGATGGTTTTTTTTTTAAATGTCAATCAAGTTTTACTAAAATCTCTTCTTTTTAGAAATGAAATATTTCATAAATTAAATGAAGCGTGAAAAATAATTAAGAATTTAGATAGTGAGATTCGGCCCAGGACACACAATGTTCCCCTAAAACCCTACTAAACCTCCTAGGTGATATTACCTCTCCACTAGAGCGCTCTCCTTTCTTTTTCTTTCTAGGCGGGGCCCTCGGTTGTTCCACAACTGATGGTTGAGGCTGCTCTGGCAAATCACCTTCCACCAAAGTGCTGGGTGGAGTTCTAGTTTTCGTACTCCGTACAATATCAGGTTCATTTATATCGTCACTGAGAAGCTCGTCTACAATTACATCACTTCCTGTTACACAGCCAGAGTTGACAGCTAAATGGTCATCTGTCACCTGTATATGTGGAATCTGTTTGTTTGGCTTTTCTTTTTCAGGAAAAGATGTAGTTATATTGTCAGAGTAATCGTTAGATTTTCTTTTAAATATTTCAGACTCTTGTGTAGACAAACGATTTGCAGCTTCCAGTTCTTTTGTGGCTGTAAATGAAGGTGACTTTCCATTAGAAGAATCAGAGTCTTCATCACCAGGTGTGTTTAACATCTCGTCGTCTGTGTCCGAGTCATGAAAAAGCTTCAGATCACCCATCCCTGTCGAGACACCTGCATCATTGCCTTCTGTCATCCGTTGTCGGAGATCCTCTAACCGCTTCCTTCTCTTTTCGTTCTCCTTTATTTTGCTATCAATCACCTTTTGAAAGAAAAATTCAGAAGAATTACCTAACAGGTAGTATGTAGTGAGAGGATTGAAATTGATGATAGTATAGACATCAGGAGTCGTCTATTCTACATGCACTAATTTTTAATTCTAATTTTTGAGAGACAACTCCCAGGCCTAATGTTGCCTTTCTTTGGAAAACTGCTTAAAATAAACATTTATTGCATGATTATTGCAAAATATTTTCTAAAATTTCAAAATATGTTTATTGCAATTTTGTTTAGGTCCCCCTAGTCACTTTTTATGTTTCATCGTTCAGGAGAACTAGGACTAGCTACATTGATATAGAACTAGCAAATAATTAATTCAGTTAGTTCTTTGAACTACCAAGCAAAACCAGTTATTTAGTGTCTAACCCAAATTGAAATGTTTTTCAACAATTTTTTAAATTTTATTTGCATTTCATCAGATTCATTATTTTCAGAAGTTCCTCTTTTGGATTCAATTATACATTTTGTACACAATGAGTAAATTAACCATCCAACATTAATGTTCCACACAGTCTTCAACTACCAGGACCATCTTTACCTGGGTGTATGACTTTTCATCTTCCTCCTCAAAGGACAATACATTCATTGCCATAGATTCACAAACATTTCTTTGCTAAGATTTAGATTTTTTTTAAATTTCATGTCAGTAAGGAACAATAATTTGACATGTAAGGGTCTAAAGAAAAGTTACGAGACATACAAAATATGGATGCTTTGTTCTCACTAACTTTTTTTCTCCTGAAATCAGCTTATAAATTATAGTAATGAAAGAGAGATAAAAAAATACACATTTGAAAGAATAAGATATTTTTATAGACAATATCAAATAAAATATTTAAAACTAGCATGAGTATGTGAGCCGAAGTCCTGAAGCAATACTTTCCTTATGAGGAAATTTTAAGTTCATGAACAAATCTTTGTTAACATGTTTTGTGAAACAAAAGCCTTGGCATAGTTTAATTTTAAGGAAATGTTGTTTCTGGTACTCTGGAGATTTTGGTACAGGACATGTACCCACACATTATGTTTAGTTTTACCAGAACTGGTCAAGTAAACTCAAGCATGTTCAAGTGATAAAATAGTTTTTCTTATATAGACCTTATGTATAAGGGGCAGATATTCCAGTTTGTGTCACCAAATAATTAATTGTAATTTACAGATGTATACTGTATTTATTGTACCGAATGTTTTTCTTCTTTCTTTTTCCGTAACATATCCAGCCTCTTCATGTATTCTTCATCTTCCTTCATTCTCCTGTTAAAAATAAACACCATGAACTTAGTACAAAGAGTTTACAATGGTTTATTGCACAAAGACATTATATATGTATCTTGTGAATATGTATCTGAATGCACAAACAGTTAAATAAAATAATTACACAGGAATTTCAGGACAAGACAATATTAACTTAAGCATAGCATTTTATTCTTGACTGACCCTTGTATAGCTGAACGTGTGGCCTAGGTGAAAGTTTTCAGTCAGTCTTTTACATACAAAGTATATTATTGACATAATACAAAGCTTGATGTTAAATTACTTTTCTTCTTGCATTTTCTTCAACTTTAATAATCTTCTCTCCTCTGCTTCCAATTCACTCTGGAAAAAAAAGTAGAAAAAAATATATTTGAAATTGGTTAACACTTCAAACCAGTAGTGTATATTGAACCAGCATAAACAATAATCCCTTTTTACTTTATTATAAACCAGTAGTGTATATTGAACCAACATAAACAATAATCCCTTTTTACTTTATTACAATTCAATATGTTTAAGTAATTTAAATGTTGTGTTATGGCTGTTTATTGTGAACAAAAATTCAGGTCCATATCATGGACTTTAAAGATCTCAATGTAATGTGAATGCATCTCCTTTAAGGGGGTGTACAATTTCATATTTAGAAAACTAGCATGCAGGTTAATTTTGAAACATTGAAGCCCAATCTATATTTTCATACTAGTAAATATTGAAAAGTTTCACAAGCGAACATAAAATCTACTTAGCCTTATGCATAAATATTGAGCACATGAAATTGTCCACCCCTATCATTTCAGAAATGTTCTGTATAAAACAGACTGTAATCATGAAATACATAAATTTATGACTTTGAAGTTGAACGACAATATAACTTTACTGAGAGCATTCTTGCAGTTCTCCATTTCTTTCAATAATTCGAGATTTGTGAATGAATATTTTAGATTTTAAGAGGCAGTATTATAAAAGCAGGTTTTATGTTAATCTGTGGCATCAAACATTTACGACATTTAAACTTTAATTCCATACGTACCATTCCAAATGAATCTTCTGGTATATTATTCATCCCCGAAGGCAGTGACCTGAAACCAAAAGGACTTAAGTTTATATTTTGATGGAATCATAATTGAAATCAGCCAATTGATACATTTCTTAATCTATAAATTATAAACAGGACAGTCTACCTATCAAGGAGTACTATATGAACATGAAACATGGATCATGAAATTGTAATAAAGATATGAATTTAGAGTTTAAAGCTTATAAGAATATATATATATAACTCTTAACACCTTAATCAAATATCCTGATTTTGGAGTAAAGTGTCATATGCCTGACTATAACTAGCTCATGGATAATTTCAAGAATTAGACTGGGATTCAATCTATTAATTTTTGTCTAATCTTTAGACAGGTGCTCTAACTGAGCTATATAATTGATTCGCTAACTTCAATCACCAGTCTGAGTGATGCAATGGTTCAGTCCAGTTTCACTAAAATCTGGCCTTCTTCATAAAAGTCTTAATACCCCAATGGCCAATGCCACACAAAACTCACCATTTTCTGACAAAGTTTTGTGTGTATATCACTAGAACAAAATATCTTACAGAAGTGAAAAAATGCCAGACAGGAATCGGTAATAAACCAACTTTAAGTCAGAAACTAGTACTACATGTAGCAATGTTACTCTATAACCAACTGATCATGAGCTAGCTGGTTTTAAACAACAGTACTAGTCCATTCATTAACTACGCGAACACATAAACACCTTCTTTAGGTAATTTTAGTTGGAAAAACAAATGTAACAAGAGAGAGTTAAAATCTGGAACCTCTAAAGTTGTAAACAGATGCTGTAACTAAATGATCAGCTACACACATGCGCAGTATACCATTTTTCATTTGTCAATACTACACCTATATTATATATACATGTATATATAGTGATTCGATTCAACTAAGTCTTAGCTGTCCTTCTAAGTTCGTCCCACCTTCAACAAAGCTTTCCTCTCTGAAAACATCCAAGTCCCTAGGTAAATTATGTGGCCAGTTGCATGAATTGGATAACAAATGTAAGGGTGGATAATCTGATATGCAATGGTCAGAATAATATTCGAACACTAGAACTTTCAACACAGACACTCTTATTAAACTAAATATGCCACCTGGTCACCAGCAATCAAACTAGTCCAGCTTCACTATAATATGAATACTAATGTTGCTAATGAGCAAAAAAAAATCTTGTATCATACTCCTATTTTTTTTCAATTAACTGATCATGAACAGAGACCATGTTATTTTCTGTGAACCCGTTGCCTAGTAAAAAGTTCAGTTTTATAATAATAATTAGTTTAATACAGAATTGACTGCAGTTGGAGATGACAGATTGACCGTACGGTTTTCTTGGGGTGCTGTCCTCAGCATCATAGAACTCGTCCATCTCGCTATCCGACGACATGATGAATGGATTACTTGGTGAAAACGAATAACATATTACAAACCAAAACAATGGTTAAAATAAATAAGAGATATATATTCGTAAAATTGACCAAATTTGGTTACACATCTCTAATTTGGTCGATATTCTTCCTCCCTCTTCGCCATACTTCTTTTGCTTCGGAACCCTCTGACATTTACTGGTGATATAATAATATCATTAGAGAATCCCGAACAGAATTTGTTGTTTATTTCTTTGTGTATTCCATGAAATCGACAGCCAAAAGGATTTATAAAATAACAACTGGCGCGTTTGTTTAATCTGAGAAATTGTCAGCAGATTGAACAGTGATTCATCTACTGCCAAACTAAGACTATTTATATCACCCGTCCATAAAGTATTTCCCATAATTCCTCTTTCTTCATACAAAATGGAGGACCTTGTGGTCGAGGTCTGCGGCGCTAACGGGGCATATTACAAGGTATAGCCGAATTTTGTTTATATAATAGTTAAGCTACTGATATGACTTGTATTTGATATATCTACTAACCATTGTGCAATCATTTGGTTGTTAAACTATTGATGATTTCCCATGATAAGTACCGTTATAAATGTTGATGTTCTACATCCATAACGGTGTTTTCTGTTTGGCCGGTTTCGGCGTCTCGTTTCACTTTCAGATATCGTTTTACTAGCGATACTAAGTTCGACGTTAAACCAGAGGAATTAAAGGTGATATAAAATGAACGCTTAACTTATATCAGTTTTAAGAAAGTTTGTTTGATTCGCTCCTCATAAAGAATGGATACATGCCCAAATGATGAGTCACGATTGTATCTTTCTTATCTGTTGATTTTCCAGCTTCCCCAACATGTTCGTGTCATCGATCAGACTGCAGACACTCCTACCAGTTATCTGATCTCCGAAATCATAATCGAACTAAGTAAACAAAATATATCTTCACAAAGTTGTTTGATTCTGTTTCTAGCTTTGTAACTTGATTAAGTTCAGATAAATTGATGGATAGAAAGAAAGTACAAATCTACAAACGTACAGAACACTTTGTACGGTCTAGAGAACAATTAAGTGGTGTATATAATTGGAGTATGTGTGTTCAATTAGAACTACAACCCAAGTCTAAGTAAACATGAGTGTCAGACGATTCACCCCAAAACAGTTACGCCCCAAATTTGATTCATAGCGCCCCAACCATTTCGCCCAAAAAATTCATAAAGCCCCAACTATTTCGCCCTTAAAACCTACAATGCCCCAAAGAATTCCTCCATAAAATTTACAACCAATTGACCTGCAAATTTCATAGTTGTTGTTTGTTTAATACGAGATTGAGTATATACTAAGATAGACATTCAAAAGCGTCCCAACTGATGAAGCCCAGGCAAAAATGCCTATTGTGTAATATGAAGGACAGAAACTCAATTGGCACATCATTCAACATATCTCCTACTTTTCACAAATTGAGCTGACAATCTCATTTATCAACATGCAAACTGATAATTCATCAAAACAATTAATGTTTTAAAAAAAATACACGAACAAATATAAATATAAATGTAAAAAAAATGTACCAATAATTTGAGTCTTGAGATTACGTTTTTCTAATCATTAATGATATATTTAAGTGAAACTAGCAATAACTACCGCCACTTTCACAAGATCAGATATAGTTCAATATAGTTTTGTAGCGGTTGGGGCGATAAAGAATTTGGGGCTATATAACTTTAGGGGCGAAAAGGATTTTGGGCAAATAGGTTCATATTTGGGGCGAAATGAACTGATAATTGGGGCAATGTGAAAAAAGTTGCGGTGAAATGGTCTGGGGTGTAACGGTTTGGGGGGGGAAACGTCTGTAATTCATATTTCCATGTTTCATTTTACATAGAAACAACCCAAAATTGTTTGCAGAATTTATTATGTATTTTCTGCATCAAACTCTGTATCTGTATAATACTGGAAGAGACCTTGATACCAACTATGATTCCAGGGTTGACTTTGGAGTAGTGCATCTGGGATTTAATTTGTTAATACTTGAGTTTTAAACGTTTTGAAGTCTGAAGTTTTTACCAGATCTTCTGGGAGGTTGTTCCAATCAGTGGTGGTATGTGGAAAGAATTAATAAGTTCTTATAAATGTCAGCCTTACACTGAAACTGCCAGAAATTTCTACTGTTCTTTGCTCTGGTCTGATCATTTGATGCAGCCCAGACTTGTTCTACAGGTATAGCCACTTCACTAACTTTTTGAAGTTTAGCGAGTGGCTGAGGTAGTATATATATTATATTTGATAAAAGAGGCTAAAATTAACTACCTCATAAGCTTTACACATGAATCAGCTTGTCACCTTAATGCCCGTAAGGAAATACAAAGTCAAAATTTATAGAAAAAAAAATCTCTTGACATCCTGGTATTTTTTCAAATGTATCATTTTCAACTGTTTACTTCCAGTATACACAGAAAATCTGAAAGAAAAACAATATGCCAAAACGTGGAATGTGGTTCTAGACTGCATGTCTGACATCAGGGTACAAGTAGATATCCTTTTCTTGAAGGATGAGAAATTTCAGTCATTTTATTGCAAATGTAACCAGCATTTTACTTCGACAAAGTTTGTTCGCACTGATTTACTTTTACACGGGAAGTATACAAGCCCCCATATAATATACCATGTGACGGCCAATTCATATTCCTTTTTCGGAAACTTGTACCTCGGAAACAACATATTCTTGTGTACCTTCACACACATTTTATTAGCTGTTATAATATGAAAGGTTTAAATTTAGAGAAATGGTAGTAAAGAATCACAGCAGAACGGGAAAAATGAAACTGACATGACCAAAGCTGAAACTTCAAACTTGAGATGGATGTTCTAGATCTAGATTCCAATGTAAATCTACCTCCTGCAGGTCTCTGGTGATCTACCGGGTCCCAGTCCAGATCTAAACTAAATGTTCTGTCCTTTTTGTAAGTCTTCATCCTAATAGACAGCAATGTTTGTAATCCAGCCACCAGTTGCTAAACAGTTAAATAAAATAGCTATTTGTGAAGTACAGGCACCATTTTATAGCATAGTGAGAGTGGAAAACATTCGATGGTGTAGACCTACTGACCAGAGCTCGAGGTCAGAGTTTAAATTTGTAACTGCTAAACTCGAGAATATTTCATCATAAAAGATTCAAGAACATGAGAATTGATGTGATCACAAGTCAAACATGGATTATTTCAGTGTAGTGGTTTTAACAGTGACATATGCATTTAGACTGTTCATGATCATAGTGAAACTAACCCTGTGTTTCAAGACTTGGTATGACCCAAATTTTGAACTGATCTGAACTCTTCAGGTTTTATAATCCACACCATTTTAAGAAACACATTAATATTGATCATCAACTACCTAATAAGGCATTACCACTAGTACTGGACAAAGTAACTTACTGTCTAGAAAATGGGGGGGGGGACCCTCCAAGTTTTTGTTTGTCAGTAAAAAAAAATCGTCAAATTAAAACACAAAACTTTATGATTATGGTAATCTTCGGGGACTTCCAACCAAAGTTTTTTCTTTTCTGAACATTAATATTTCAAAATGATTGTTAGCATGTATAGATATATATTCTGTCTTTGCGTATTGCAGAGTTATCTTCTCTTGGGAGCAGGTATTGATTGTTTCGTCATTGGTCTGTGTGAGAAAATTACGTTTTCTCAAAAATTGATGACGTTATTCTCACAAACAAGTGACGTAACAATCAATACCTGCTCCCAACATGGCTGACAGACAGCCATCTTGGATTTTGATAGTGAAAGTTTGTTATAGCTATTTCCCGGGAAATACCAGAGGGATCTTTCTCAAATTTGATAGGTAGGTTCCCCTTGTTCCCTTGTTATGCAGCAGTGCCTGAAATGGACAGTTGCCTGCTCGCCAATGGCGGTTAAAGTCTTGCTCGAGCCACCAAAAGTTGTCAAAAGTGAGGTAGTCACTGGCCCAACAAAAATAGTTTGGGCGACTGTCAAAAAATAATTGAATAAAAGAAATTATATTCTCTTACCCTGGACAGATTTATCCTTACTTTTACCGGTGTGAGATTTCCTTGTCTCACCCTAGGGTTGAGACAAGCTGCACGTGCTCTTTGCACGTTCTCCACAATAAACCTGACGTCACTGATGTGACCCAGAAGAAGAACTACTTTTATGAGGTCACACACATACACAAGTTCGTCTGCTAATCTTGTCGTGTTAAATGTTTACATTTGGCATCAAAGAAGATGGGATTGATTTTAAAATGTTTAAAATATGATGCGTGAACCGTCCGACGCATACATATAATATTAATACGCTATCCACGTGTTCCTGTTTACAAACAATATGCTTCATCTTACGCTTGGACAGGAACAACAGGGTAAGAGAAAAATAATCATTCACCCCCTCGGGGATGAGATAGGGGGATCTCAACCCTCGGGGGGAATATTCTTAAGTTGCCAAACACTCGGCAAAGCCTCATGTTGGGCAAATTAAGAATCTTCCCCCCTCGGGTTGAGATCCCCCTATATCACCCCCAAGGGGATGAAAGATTTTATTAGTCCCTTCCACATTAACTGGGGGGGGGGGGGGGGGGGGGGGGGGGGCAGTACATTTTTCAGGTGTCATTACTTTGATTTGTCCGTGATTTAGAAAATGTGATGATTTTTTTTTTCAGATTTTCTATATAAATACTTCAAGGGTGTCTTCTTTGAGGTGCGAGTTTTGTGTATATCTTTTTTGGATCATGTCGGGTTTTAACTAGTGTTGAAGAATTGAAAATATAATGTTTTATTCTCTTTTACATATTACAAACATTGTCAGGTTATATGTAATTTAAATGTGCTGAAGCATTGTGTTATAATGCTGTGGAAATATTTCTTCCCAAAATTATTTCAGCCACCAATATATGTCATTTGGGCCAGTGCTTCAAATTTTTTACTTGCCCAAAAAAAATAATTTGGGACAGCCAATGCAGGTTCCCCACTATCCTTTATTGTTCATGCTTACTTTAGAAACTGATCAGTTAAACAAAATGGCTTACTGACAGCTATTTTTGATTTTTGACATTGAAGGTTTGTTAGTACTATTTCTCCGGAATAACTTGAGGGATCTTTCTCAAAATTGATATGGGTTTCCCTTGATCCCTCATTGTGCATGTTATATTTTGAGACTGATCATAAAAACAAAATGTCTAAAGGAAGAACTAAACAGATCTTTCTCATATTGCAATGATCAATTCTATTTCTTTCACATTAAGTACTGTACTAGTAAATATGTGAAATGACAAACTCACTTTGAAGGTTGGCTTTCATGTACACATAGTATTAAGTTTAGATCAAAAGTTACTTCAAGGTGCATTAACTGTTAACATGACTAGAACTGACAAAGAACTAATGAAGATGGTACAATAGTGTGCGCCAAGATCCCTCTGGGATCTCTTGTACTATTGTGA